TGAAAACAATGAAATCCAAATATGAGGTGATCCCAAAATTTATATGGAACAAAGGTCCAAGAACTAGTGTACTTTCGAAAGATAAGGGGAATCATTGTATCACATATGACAGCCAATTATTGGGTTGTTGAAAAAGTCATGACATATTTTTTGTTTTTCAAAGGTCATTTATTTATATAAAGAACAAAAATCAATCATTGATATATTGCCTGTTTTGTTCCATAACCTTTTGCCATCTTTCAGTGAGCTTCATAATTCCTCGTTCATAGAAGGACCTGTCTTTATTTGCAAAAAAACTGAATAGGATGCTGATTTACAGCCTCATCTGAATTGAACATTATACCACGCAAGGAGTTTTGAAGAGAGTGAAATAAGTGGAAATCTGACAGCGCAAGGTCAGGCGAGTATGGTGGGTGGCAACACATCCCATCCAAGCTCCAATAACTTTTGACGGGTGATCAGACTTGTGTGTGGTCTCGCATTGTCATGATGAAACACAACTCCTTTACAATTAACAAGCTCTGGAGGTTTCTGGATGATGGATTTGTTCACACTGTCCAACTGCCGACAATACACAAATTGATTGTTTGGTTCCTTGGTAGGAGCTCGAAAACCATGACACCTTTAAAATCCCACACTTCCTCTGATGAATGTCTGCTTTAGATGTCGTTTGAGGCAAATCATCACGTCGGGACCAAGAATGTTTGCGCACCACATTGTTGTAAACAGTCCACTTCTCATCACCAGTTATCAGTCGCTTCAAAAAAGGATCGTTTTCCTCATGTTTAATAAGCACATTGCAGATGTTTATACGCACCGTCAAATGAACTTGAGTTCATGCGGAACCCAAATATCGAGCTTGCTTACTACATATCCCAGCTTCTTCAGGTGGTTGTGAACACTTGAATTATGGAAGTTCAATGTTTCTGCAATCTCTCGTGTCGTGTAACGTGGATTTCACTCGATCAATGTCTTTATTTTGTCGTCATCATCCTCTGTGGGCCACCCTGACCTAGGAGCATCATTGAGATCAAAATCACCAGCACAGAATTTCATGAACCATCATTGGCACTGACGTTCTTATAGAGCATTGTCACCGTAAACTTTATGCAACTTTTCACAAGCTTGACGCGCATTCTTCCCTTTTTGGAAGTAAAACAGTAAAATATGGCAAAAATGCACAGATTGGTCTTGCATATTCAACTTGTTGTAAAATCTCCAAAACTCAACCAAATCGCTCAGTTTTTTAAAGAATGAAGCTAGAACTGTCAGCTGTCAAATGACATTGCAATAACATAGATGCGAATGACTCTGGTACTTCCAAAAATGAACTCGTGCCATCTGTTGCAAACATGCGGCATGACTTTTCCAACAACCCAATACAAAGCTACATTGATTAAAATAGCGGGTTACTGGCAAAATTAGGTAAGTGGACAAATTTAACAGAAGAGCCCAGAAACATTCTTATAATTACACAGAAATTGGATATAATGATAGAGGTGGCTTTACAAATCAGGAGGGAAAGGATGAGCTATTGGGTTGTTAGAAAAGTCATGGTGTATTTTTTTCTGTTTTTCGTTGCAAAAATGTGTCATGACTTTTCTGACAACCCAGTATTTTTTTAAAAGGTGCTAGGAAAATCAACTATGCAAGAGAATTTATGAGAATGTAATCATGACTTTAGGTTATTAAAGGAGCTCTTAAATAAGTAAACAAAACATGGAAAGGTTAAATTTTACTATAAATTTAAAACTTCTGTATAATAAATGCCATCATAAACAAAGCAGATACATGAATATTCTAATTCCTCCCATTTTTATGTAAAGAAGATTCCCAACCAAAACTAAAAACCTATAAAATACTTAGGAATAAGCCTAATATGAAATGTGTAAGATCTTTATGAAGAAAGTCATTAAAATTTTATACAATATAAAATACTTTAATAAAAAAAGGCCTATCACGATACTAATGGGGAAAATTACATTAATTATAAAGAAGTCTATTATCCTCTAATTAATGTATAAACTAATGCGATCCCAATCAAAAGCGCAACACAATTTTAGTGGAACTTAATAAACTGATTCTAAAATTCACCTGGAACAGAAAATGTACAAGAATAAGACAATGAAGAGAGAAAAGAAGGGGAACTTTCCTACAAACAGCAAAACACAGTACAAAGTCAAATGACAGTGAAGAGTGTAGTTGCTAGAATGGACATTTAGATCTACTGCTCAGAAAGAGGCAACTTAGCATATGATCAACTTGGTATTCAAAGAAGTGGAGAAAAGAATGGACTATTGAATAATAGTTGGGACACTTGTCTTTTCATTTTTGCTTGGGGGGGAGGAACCCTAAAATAACTAATAAAACTAGGCAAATATGACGTGAACAGGCAACATACCACAGAGGATCTACAAATGACCAAAAACATAAAATGTTTGGTAAAAGTCATCAGGGAAATTCAAGTTAAAAGAAGATACTTTCAACCAGTGATTGGTTAAAAGAAAAAAAAACAACCAAGAAAACAAAAACAACTCCCAAGATACTACCTACTATTGGGGAGGGTGTAGAGAATGGGTTCTCTTATGGAGTGTGAGATGAAGGAAAGCTACATTTCAGCCATTAAAATTAAAAACCCACATAATTTTTAATCCAGCGATTCTATGAAGGTAGAGTTACAGTTACAGTAATAAAAAGATATCATACATATAACATTAAAAGTTAGTTGTAAAATAATGATATAATCCCATTTATGAAAATCACACATACAAAACAAAAAAAGCTGCTTTAAAAGAATCCAAAAGACAGTGGTTTAAACAAGTCAGGAATTTATTTTGCTCTCAGTAGCTGAAAGGAAAGCAGTTCAAGGTAGGCAGGCCAACTTCTCCATCCTCAGCACAGCTTCTGTCCACCCCATGACACTGCTCCAGCTCCCACTGGCCTCTCAGCCAGCAAGAAAGGGGAATGACGGGACAGCACACCCAATTGTTCAGTTAAGGGCCTAACCTGGAAGTTCACACATATCCACTGCCTGGTCACGTGGCCACAGTGAACAATAAGGTAGACACTAAGGGAACAATAAGGAAGCAGAGACTTTAGCTGCGCAGCCAAATGTCCACTTAAAACTTGGGAATCCTGTCCACAAAGGAAGAAGAAAATGGACATTATAGCAGCAGTCTCTGCCACACATATGTGTGAATGCACGGAAAACAGCCTGGAAGAACAGTCACTAATTATAGTACTTACCTCTAGAACAGGAGCAAAAGTGGGGGGAGGCAGAATAGTGCCTAAAAACTTTAAAACAGTACTAGTGTATTTATGTATTACATAAATTACAAAAAATTCACATTTTAAAATCCTTTATTTGTAGCTTAACAAATATATTAAACTAATTAAATCTACTAACACTGTACAAAGCTTTTCGGGTTCCAAAAATTAGATTTTATCGAAATGAATAAGGTACTCTATATTGTTAAAACCATTACATTTAGAGCATCTTTCTCTAAGTCTCTCCCCGTGCCCCCCCCCCCTCCCACAGCCCACACCCAGATGAATGATGACAATGTGTACAGACAGCCACACTGAGACACAGGCAGGGCAGTGACCTACCCAAGGTCACAGCATGCCAGTGGCAGGATGAGACAAGAACTGGAGTGAGGACCACCTTGCTTTTACTGCATCATAACTTTTGATGGCATTTTCTACTTGATGAGAAGGTTACAACTTCTCTAGCTCCGTCTGGTGTAGACTTCAGACAATATAATATATGCCCAAACACTTGACAACTGTGATGTGTATCAGTACTTCAATCTGAGAACAAGGAGGACACAATTCTCTTATAGGCTAATGATTACAAAAATAAAAAGAAAAGGACTTCCTATTGTAGAAACAAAACAGTAATGAGTTCGACTTACTTCTGAGCCAAAGTACTCAAGTTTAGAATTTATTGAGCTGTTTAAAAACCCTTTCTATGACTTCTAGATAATGATGGCAAAATGAGGAAAATAATATTAGGCTGGTGCAAAAATAATCGCAGTTTTTGCCATTACCTGTAATGTAAAAAATGCAATTATTTTTGTACCAATCTGTTATCTTCCTCTTTTAATATATAATAAATCACTCTAAAAACAGAAAAAGAAAGAAAGAAAGAAAGAAAGAAAGAAAGAAAGAAAGAAAGAAAGAAAGAAAGAAAGAAAGAAAGAGCCAGAATCTAAAAAAAAAATGCAGAAAACCCTGGTGGTAATCATGACTCGGACTATGACTTCTGCCAAAGGGAAGGGATCCATGGTCCAAGCTATTTAACAAGATCTCACAAGGGAAAAGTAAAGACCAAGTCGTCCAACCAGAGCTGCGTGCTGCCCAGCAGAGGCTCTCCCTGACCCCCAGCCCAGACCCCTTCTCTCTGGGTCCCGGAGTCCCAGATCTGGACACAGCTGCTCACTTTCAGCAGGAGCAAGAGGTAAGAAATGGCATTGGAAGAAAGCGAGAATAACACAGAAAAATCAAAGAGAGGACAAAGAGCAAGCCAGAGAAAACAAATCCAAGAAACAAACTGCACTGTGACAGCTCTAGAAAAAATGTAAGGAATACAATAAATGTAAGAAAACAAGACTTCAGAGCTGAGATCTTAAATGAGAAGGAAATAAGAAAAACAGGGCTCTGAAAAACTGACAATCAAAACACCACCATCACCAAACTAGAAACAGAACAGATGCAACTGAAAACCAAACCTCTTAAATAGGAGTCATAGTGAATGCAAAGAAAAAAGACAGATGGAAACAACAGGAAAGAAGATAATACAGGAGAACAGTGCTGCCTAATATGAAGCAATCAGCACCCTTAGGAAAGCAAACCATGAATAAAACGAAAAACGTTCCAAGTTACCTCCCAGCATAGAAGCAGAGAGTGCTGGAACAGTCAGTGGTCATGGGGTGGGAATGATGGTAGATCTGATTTTGGTCTGGCATGGTGTGTGTGTGAGATTTTATCTGTACTTTTGGTTCTGCTTATGTTTTTTTGTTGTTTAAGATACCACATTTCATTTTCCTAAAACCAAGTCACTGTAGGGGGGAAAACGCTACCCTTTGCTTAAAGTAAAGCCAGTGTAAATTTAGTACACTACAACTTCCTGCAAACACGTCTTATCATTTATTACCAAGCTATTTCACGCTTCCTAACAAAAACACCTGCAAATTTAACAGTACCTTAAAAGATTGTTAAAAACAATGAATATGATTCAAGATAACAAATCTGAGCTTTTTGGGGTGGCAAATGGAGCAGCAATGTGATCCGACAACATCTTTTGGGGAAAGAAACAAATGTGTTCCAAGGATTAACTGTTAGGCCCCAGATTTTATAACATAATTCAAAGTACCAAAAAAAACTAACCCAAGTCTTTTTAAAACTTTTAAGTTTCAAAGAATTTCTTCTTCCTTCAAGTTTTAATTATGAGGTAGATTATCATTCAAAGTAAATACCAAATATAACTGACCTGTAGACAAACATGATTATTAAGCACAGGTTAATAATCAGAAGTTTCCATTAAAAAGTCAAGTAAAAGTTTAGAAATCAGTGCTGATCAGCAGTACTCTGGCTTGAGCTTCCAAATCCCTTCACCGCCAGAAGTTCTGTGAAAAGTGCAGAGACTTCTCAGTAGCTCTCGAAAGACACAGGCCTGTGAAGCTGACAACCTGCCCTCAAACTCCTGCAGGATCTCCCGTGTGCTGGCCTGGCCATCCACCTGGGCCTGAAAAGCAATGAAGTTTCTCATCTCTACCAACAGGGTGTCATGCTCCGTGGTGGCGGACAGCGGGACAGAGGCCTGACTCTGCACGCTTTCACTTTCTAAGCGCTCCGGCAAAATCAGGTGGTTTCTCGCTCTCATTTTAGCCAACAGTGAGGATGATGGGAGGGCCCCGGACAAGGACTCTTGATCTTCCACTCCTCCACTAAAATGCTCCGAAACATTCTCTTTTCCATCCTTTTTCATGGTGCCATCCTGAAGAAAGACCACCACCACATTGATATGCTTAAATTCTAGTCTGCAGTCCCACTTGGGTCCCCAAAGGCTCTGAGAGCCATAAAACAACACATGTGCCCATGGTAGTGAAGGTGATGGGGAAAGAATGAGACAGGTCTAAGAGGGGAAGTGGACAATCAAATATGTAAATCCAGCCACTATTAAATAATATGTCCTTAAAAAAAAACCCTAAACTCCACTATTCACTTGGCCACCTTCTGAATGACGAGAAAGGAGGACAGCAGGTGCATGGGGACCAGGCTTCCAGAGATGGCGTCTAGGAAACTGTCTCCAGGGGGCACGAGTTCTAGGCGCTTTTCTTGCTCTTCCTCCCAAATTTACCCTGATCTAGGCAGGCGCTGTGGGATAGGGAACAAAGTCACAGCTGCACTTCTTTCTCTTCACCTTTCAATCTTCTTATTCTTTCCCACTTCATATCTCATGTGTGTTTCCTTAAAACAACAAAGGTTCTCTACTCCTAAATGTGTTCCTATTAATCTGAAATTAGAGTCTGAACCTGGGAGTTTTCACATTTTATCAGTAACATAGCCCTTACCAGAAAAGGCCAAACAAGGGCACAGAATGTGTCTGGCCTGGCAGTCATGCCCAGTGACAGGACAGGCAGGGACGGTACAATGTCCAGGAGCCAGTGACCTACAAACAGTCAAGGTGACTTTCCAGACCAGTATTCCAGAGGGTAGTGGTCTTTGGAGCTGACACTTCACCTCCGGAAAGGGCAGGCTGTGTGGGCAGCGACTCACATGTCACCTATTCCTGTGCTAACTTTCTAAGGGCAAAACAGAGATTCTGCTATTGACCTTGGGTGAAAGACTTCCTTTTAGGAAGCTAGCTGCTCTTTAGATTCAAAGGCAAGTGCATCGAAAACCAGAGCACACAACACAAACAGGTGTCATCCGATGTCCTCACATAGGAATCGGGTTAAGTTTTCATGGCAATTCCATCCAATGAGCCTCACACAGGAGACACGGACAGGCCATCACATTACCTGGCATTTCTCCTTTGAAGACGTTGAAGGCTGCTGTTCAGAGAAGCTGGAATTCCTTTTCTGACCAAATCTACTCCTAAATAAAAACAAAGATTCGCAGTAGGTAAATGTTTGTTTTGTGATTATGAGATGAAAATACCTTTTCAACAACTAAACTCTTTCTGGACAAATTTTCTGCTGCATGGTTCTTCTTTTGTAGCCATGATATTTGTGTCCCATCCCCTCTGATTCCTCTACTTTACTCTCCTGGGAACTAACTGCTGCATCTCATGTAAGAACCACTCCATATCCTTGTTCAACATGATGGAAACTACCCTCAAATCCTAGGTAGGAAAATCCTCCTAAAAGAGTACACTGTAGCATTCAGTAGTTACTGATTGGTACTAGACAACAGCATTCCTTCAGTAATTACTGATTATTGAAAACTGGCTAATCATCTTATCAAAGTTTAATCCTGATGCTGCATCTCTTACTATTTTTAATGATATCATCTTTTCAACAAAACAGATCACTTCTTCCTCTGAAAAATCAGCTTTAGAAAGCAGGGGATGAAAGTGGGAAAGAGGTAAGATTACGAATGTGTTTCCCAATTCAGGCAAGTGGGCCAGCCAATCCCTTCCTGAGACCTTCTACTACTATAGCTAAACAGGAGTAGGTGGCCACGCCCACCCGGACTTCATGCCAAGCCTGGAGGGCAGGCCTGCTCACAGCCTGGGGGGCGGCGTCTCTTACTTCATTCTCACTGGTGCACCAGAAACGCCCCTATGGCCAGTCCAGGTGGGCACCCCAGACACCGCTCCCAGGCACCGCTGACGAGACAGTCTTAGTGCTTTCAGGGCCTCCTGGGCCACGCGGCTAGCCTCCGCCTCCACGAGTACGTAATCGGGACTGGCTCCATCCACGATGGCGTCGTGCTTCATGACACTGTGCACGCCAACTAGCAACAAGGCAACAGTAAGCGTGTTATTTATTTCAGGTCAGACTCAATCATATCTTTTCTTCTGATAGTCCAGCATGTTGTGCGTGAACAAAAATAATGAGTATTTTTAGCTGCTACATACTAAGTGACCAACATGACGCAGGAACTTACATATGTTGTTGCTGTTTACCTTCATCACTACCTGATGAGGTAGAGACTATTACTAGCCCTGTTTTACAATAATGAAGCATAATACTTTAAACCAAAACTTCAACATAACCTCTTCCCTACTGTCTGGATACTTTGAAAACCTTCTATTAATAAATTCTTTACTAAAGGAAAAACCTAAACTAGAATTATAGAATTTCTAAAAAAATGACCATGAAAACACTATATATCAGAAGAATTTAACGCAGTTACCAATGGAAAATTCACAGCCTTAAGTACTCATATCAATAAAAATAATAGAAATAAATGAACTAAATTTCCAAATCAAACAATTTTATAAAAATTAAGTAAAAAAATTCACCAAAACACAACAAAAAATAAAAGCAGAAGGAAAAAAGTAATGAAGGTAAAAGCAAAAATTAATGAGGTAGAGAATAATCATGGATCTAATTAGTAAATCAAAAGCCTGGCTTATTAAAAAAAAATCACAAAGCAAACCACTAGCTTAACTCGATCAAGAAAAAAGGGGGGAAATACAAATTTAGAAATGACAAGGGGGAAATTAACTTGAAACAGGAACAAACTAAAAAAGAATTATTACAAGAGTATTTCCTATGCTTGCTTCTATGCCAATAAATTTGAAAACTAGACAACATAATTTCCAAAATAGGAAAAAAGACCAGTAACTGCAGAAAAAACAGAGAAAGTTAACAATAAACTCTTTTACAAGAAAGCATCAGGCCCAGATAGTTTCTTTCTGGAATGCCATACCTAAATCTGCCTTCTTGAACAGAAAACTTAAAGCAGCAATCTTTCAAAAGTCGAGGCCATCACACTGTGAAACACAATGACTGCCAACGACTGAACATGACTCTCCCATGGATGACTAACGGTGCAGGACCACCTGTCCTCCAGGGTCCCCAGCAATCGTTGAGTCTGCTTTCCTAATTTTTCTGCCTTGATTATTAACTATCAGCTTTCCTGCTTCCAGAGTGCCCACCCCTGGCCATACCCTTACCTCTGTCTCCATGATGTTATTTTAATATCCTGTGATTGGAAAACCAGGTCAGTATAGCATATACAGAAACTTTCTACTAACGTTCAGGTAGGACAAACCCATTTAAAGCATCGCACCCTTCCTGTATATGGTGATAAGTCAAGTACTATTGTTCTCCAAAGTTTCAAATTCTTCTAGGTCTTCAAAACAGAGGTGTAAATATGATTTTCAAAAATGTCAATGACACATTTCAAATCAGAACTTTAGAAGGAAAAAATGCTTCCAGCTTAGAGCCCACCCTGCGCTGTCAGTAAAGGCTGCTACTGCTAGAAAGAGCCTCTCATGTCTGCTCCTAGCACACCTGTGGCCAATTCAGCAAAAGGATTACCTGATTTTTTGAAAAGCTTTTCTAAAACATAATCATCATTGTTCTGTTCCTTGTTCTCACTCTCGTTTTCATTGTCTTGCTTCTGGTACTGCCTTTTCTTCACCAGGTGTGGGATTCGAGTTCCTTCAAACTTGGCATCTCGGCGATGCTTAGAGTTCTTAGGCTTTTGCTTTGGCCTCAGATGTTTCCCCTGGGTCTCTTCTTCTGCCTCATTGTGTTTTGTTTTTGACTTGTGCTTATAAAAGTTATTTTCAACTTGTTCATTTCCCCAAAGGGGTTCCATTTGAACTTGGCAGCTTTCCCTTTTATCAGAAAAACTTTTCTTTTCATCGATGGTTTCCTCACCAGATGTCCTGCACATTTTGCTGATTCCTGGAGAATCTGAGCACTCCCCATTCCCACTCAGCACGGATGAGTCCTCTTGTCTAGACACAACATGTGTCTCTTCACCAAGTTTAACAATGCTAACTGGAGAACTAGGTGTTTGAGGGGCATCTCTCAAAGGGTCACCTTGATTAGAAGTTACTGCATTTACGTCAGTTCCTATAGCTGTAGATATCTCTTCAGATGATGTGGCATCATTTGTATAAGCATTAGAATCAGGGAACATTTTGCATACTGGAACATTATGGTCTGTACCAAGGGCTGGCTGAAGTTTTCTTTTTAAATGGCGTTTGGGTTTCTGAACATCTGAACCAGTTCCTGCAAAGGGGAAACACACACTAATGTTACACTGCATAATTCTTACATAATTTACTCCTTTAAGTCAAATTATTTTATGTAATACCTGCAAAAATAGCACTTGTTTCAGTGCTCTGGGATGCATCAGGACTGGTCAGAGTAAACAGCTCATAAAGATCATTGGACTTGAAAAATCGTTTTTGCTTTGGATCTTTGAGCACTCTATTTGTCAAAAACTGCTTGAAGATTTGTCTAAAAGATAAAAATTAAACTGGTATGAAACAATATTTAGTTCTATCTCAAAATTGTAATTATAAAACAATATAAGAGAGAGATGATAACCACAGCTCTAGAGATGTCTAAAGATACCCCAACACTTCTTAAAAAACTGCAATTCAGGAAGTACATAAAACATCAGGTGGTCTCCCATGTTTTACAGAATTTAAGTTAGAAATAATGCATTATGAGGTGTGATAAAATAGTGAATGTTTAAATAAAAAAAATTTACTACAGTAAAAGACACTTTGCTATTAATCTCCCTCAAAATACTCCCCCTCGCTTCAAACACACTTATCCCATTTTTCTTGCCACTTTCTGAAGCAGTTCTGGAAGTCCTCTTTCGTGAATATCTTTAGTTGCGCTGTTGTGGCTGCCTCGATGCCCTGAATCGATTAAAAACATTTACCTTTCATGGTCATTTTGACTTTGGGAAAGAGCGAGAAGTCGCATGGTCCCAGATTCAGTGAATAAGGTGGATGAGGACTCACTGTAATGTTTTTATTTGACAGAAATTGCTGTATACCAGAAGTGATGTGTGACACAGAGCCTTGCCGTTGTGATCACAAAATATGGTGAATGTTTGAAGTGAGGGGGAGTATTTTGAAGGGGATTAATAGCAATGTGTCTTTTACTGTAACAAATTTTTTTAAATTTAAACATTCACCATATTGTTTGATCACACCTTGTATTATTATTTATCCCCAGTGGGATTTTGCAACTTCCAAGATTAATCACATTTCAAGAAACACCTTTTCACTTACATTCATGTGACTCAGCCTCCTGACACCTGGACAAGGGTCATCTGCCCTACCCTAGCATGGCCTTCCTCTGATGAGGAAATCTTACCTGGGCTTTGCAAAGTTCTCATTTGGGGTCACCTCACCACCTCCTCTATGCTGAAGTACTACACCTTTGTCACTTGCCCAGATATCTCCATAAAATAGTCCTGCCCCTTCCCACTCACTTGTTCTTCAAGTTAAGGCGTGTATCTCTAAGAGGAAGCTCTCCCTCTCAGGATCTGTCTCCAGCCCTCTCACAACAAGGCCCTTGAAGAACATGAACCACCCCACACGTGGCCCAGCACATGGTAGAAAGCAGGGCTTCCCTTTAGGAGCTGGAATGCAGCTCAACAGTATGAAGTCTTCAGCAGGGGAGGAGGGGAAGTTGGCAATATCTCCATTCTACTATTGAAGTCACCTTTGCCTAAATCCTTACAGAGAGAAAGGTGGAGGAAAACAACAGGTGTCCTCGTCAACCTTTCTCCATGGGACATCTGAGCCAAGGCCAACAGAACACCCACAGTAATCACAATTGTGTTCTGTGTTTAAGTACCAATATGTTAGTGTTTCAATTTTGTCACTTCTTAAAATTTTTTCTGAAAGAAGATGGCACACTATATTATGTAGAACACTTCTCTCAAATAATACAAAGTCTACACATAAACAGTCCTTGAAGTTTAATAAGGTAGAAAAATGATCAGGGTCAAAAGCATTTTTAAAAAACTTACAATGAACATAGGGGTACATATACCTTTACAGATAAATGTTTTCAGATTTTTTGGGTTGATACCCAGGAGAGGAATTGCTGGGTCACATATGGTAATTCTATTCTTAACTTCTGGAGGAATCTCCACACTGTTTTCCATAGTAGCTATACTAATTTACAGTTCCACCAGCAGTTTATAAGGGTTCCTTTTTCTAAATAGCTTCTCCAACACGTTATTACTTGTCTTGTTGAAAACAGCCATTTCAACAGGTGTGAGGTAGTATCTCATTGTGGTTTTTGATTTGCATTTCCCTAATAGCTAGTGAAGTTGAGCATTTTTTCATATATCTGTTGGCTGTTTGGGTGTATTCTTGGGAGAAGTGTCTATTCAGGTCCTCTGCCCATTTTTAATTGGATTTTTTTTTGTTATTTTTGATTTATATGAACCCTTATACACTGCTGGGGGGAATGTAAATTAGTATAGCCACTATGGAAAACAGTATGGCGGTTCCTCAAAAAATTAAGAATAGAATTACCATATGACCCAGCAATCCCTCTTCTGGGTATCTACCTCAAAAGTCTGAAAACATTTATCCTTAAAGATATATGTACTCTGATGTTCACTGCAGCATTATTCACTGTGGCCAAGACATGGAAACAACCAAAGTGTCCTGTAATAGATGATCAGATAAAGAAGATGTGGTACATATATACAATGGAATATTACTTGGCTATAAGAAAAGATGAAATGCTGTCATTTGCAACAACATGGATGGATCTTGAGATTATCATGCTAAGAAAAATAAGTCAGACAGAAAAATCAGAGAACCATATGATTCCACTCATATGTGGGATATAAAACTGAAAGTAAAAACAAACAAGACAAAGAAACAAAAACTCATAGACACAGACAACAGTTTAGTGGTTACCAGAGGGTAAGGGGGAGGGGAGTGGTAGATGAGGGTAAAGGGGGTCAAATATATAGTGATGGAAGAACTGACTCTGGGTGGTGAACACAGAATGCAATATACAGATGATGTATGATAGAAATTTACACTTGAAACCTATATAATTTTACTCACTAATGTCACCTCAATAAATTTAATATAAGTAAATAAAATAAAAATAAAAAACTCAAAATAAGCCATCTAGGCTTATTTTAATAAGAAAAAATACACAAAGAATTTTAAAAAGTACAGTATCCCTCAAATTATAGAAACTAGTGTTTCAAGTTGGAGAGACTTTTTAAAATTCTTGGTGGTGTGCTTCTATATCCTGCGCACATTGCAGCCAGGAGGGCAGTCGTCAGTTAAAGAGCAGGCAGACATGTGTACCGACCGGTGGTAAATCTTTTCTTCAATGGTGCCTGCAGTCAGAAGCCTGTACACCGTCACCTGCTTCTTCTGGCCTATCCTCCACGCTCGCTCCCGGGCCTAAGGCAGACAGAAACATCTCAACAAGGGCCCTTCCCAATGACAAGCACTAACTAAAAGAAACAGAGGGCTGGTTGCTTCCTTCCACTCTCAAAGTCAGAAGTTTGGCTAATGAGGCTAAACATCTATCAAGAAAGATACACAGGCAGGTGACAAAGAGGGACCAATATCTCTACCTAAAAACCAGTGTGTGTTTGTTAATGTCACATATTATTTTCACCCCATACCTAGCAATGGGTGCTATGGACAAACTGCTGGGCTCTTCCTGTCTGTGATGCTGGCGGGTGTCTTCCTCAGGCTGAAGTCAAGGAGACAGTCAAGATGGAAAATGTGTGCTGAAGCTAGCATGAACACTAAGGCCACTTCCAAGTGCCAGCCCTTAATCTGAACAATGAGCTAAGCCCTGCTCCATGTACAAGTATAACTTCTGACTTCCCCAAAACTGTACTAATACCCCACCATTGACAGGAAGCTCATCCATAACATAAATAGTGGATAAACACATTTTTTGTATGTTATATGTATTATATACTGTATTCTTATAAAAAGTAAGCTAGAAAAAAAATGTTACTAAGAAAATCATAAAAAAGACAAAATACATTTACTGTATTTATTGAAAAAAATCCACATATAAGTGGACCTGCGCAGTTGAAACCCATGTTGGTCAAGGGTTAACTGTATGTAACCAATACACTCCCTTTTAAAAAGAAACAGACCTGTGTGTCTGTGCTTGGGTTCCAGTCGGGGTCGTAGATGATGACTCTGTTTGCTCCCGTCAGGTTGACTCCTAGGCCACCCACCCGAGTGGTGAGAAGAAACACAAATATGGATGTGTCCTAGAGGTAAGACATACAACACTTAATATGTATATGTAAGACCACTCTTCACCACTGCCTTTCCCTAGTCCACACATGGAAAATGTTCCCAATATAAGGAACGGGTTATATCTAGGAGACCTTGATCA